TGGAGTTGAGCTGCTCAGAGCCAGGGAATGAGGATGAAGAGGACGATGCAGCAGGGAGGGAGCCTAGACGCCCAGTCACCAGACGCTCAATCCTCACAAGCCCTGTGGCCAATGGTGCCAACCTAGATTATGATGAACTAAGCAGAGGCTGCAGGACCCTGCCAGGCCTCAAGAGAACCCTGTCCATGGACTCCTCTGACTCCAGCCGAGGATCGCACAACGGTCAGGCCTGGGACCCCAATGGCAGCAGTCCTTGCAAGTACAGGAAGGTGCATCTAACCCAGTTTGAACTGGAAGGACTACGCTGCCTAGTGGACAAGTTGGAGTCGCTGCCTCTGCACAAGAAATGCGTCCCTACAGGTATAGAGGATGAGGACGCCCTCATTGCTGATGTTAAGGTATGTAGGAGCTCTTCCGCTGAGTCCCATATCCCACTGCCTGCCAGTGTCCATACACAAAGGCCAGGAGGGCCCTGGCTTGCTGGGGATAGGCCAAGAGAGGCTCAGGGAGGGAATTACCCCTGCAGCTTATCAGCTTATGCCTGCCTTATCTTATACCTGAAACCATGAAGTCTTACCATGTGATCTAAGCTGGCCCATAGTTATAAATGGTTGTAAAACTACCTTCTATCACTGAGTCCACTCGGTCTTGGTGACATTCTGTGAGAGATGCCCCCAAAGTGTGCTGTAAGCTCCAAGGGGTCACTTAGTATGTTTAGCACTATCTTCTAAATTGGTGCCTCCTATTTCCAATGGAGACTGATGGTCTTTACTCATATTTCAGAGATAAAATATAGTTATTCAACCTACCAAATATTTAGAGGAGCTTTGGGCCCAAAGGGGAAAACAGAACTCAACTTAATTTGGATTTTTTTAGGGTTGTAGAGATGCTAGCGTAACAGTTTCTACCAAGGCATTTTTTCTGGTGCCATCATAGACGTGAGCTTCTGAAAAATCATCTTAGGGCCCATTTGGTCCATCTTCAGGTGCCACTACAAGAATGTCCACGGTACAAGCCTTAATCCTCCAGTAGTCAGCACAATCTCTTCCTTTTCTTGTTGCCCATTACATATTGATTGGGTTGTATTTTCGTTTAGTTGTTTGCCCAGCATATATAATATCTGGCAGGTTTTTCTAGGTGGATTATAAGTGTGTTTCTCCTTTTCACCCTATTTCCCACCATGCTTTGCAAGAGGCAGGCCTACAAAGATGGCTACCATGAAAGTCAGGTCTCTAACCTTTGCATTACTGAAGGAAGAAGGGAATTCCAGCCAACCCTATTCCTAAAAAGCCTTGAACCTTAAAATCAGGATTAACAAAATGGGTTTCTATCCCACCCTTCCTCACTGATTCCTTGTTGTATCATCTGTCCTTTTGAAGCTGACAAACTTAGCCATAACACTCTACAGGTAGTACTGCCAGCCTTCTAAGTGCCCCTTGCCCATGCTTCTGTCATCCGCTCAAGTAGACCAGATCCCCATCCCATTCCTTCTGTACAAAATGTAGAAAAACCTTCCTTCCAGTTTGGGGAGGTGAGCACTGAACGGCTGGTGTCTTTGCTGGGGCTGAGTTAAGGCTGTGGTTTATGACAGTTACACTAGTGGAGAGGTCTGTCTGCGTAGGTGAACTGTGCTGTTGGATGGCTTCACTTTTTTGTTCTCTTTTTCTTTTGTGGCTTTGTCGTGTATGTTACATGTGTCTTTGTAAGATACACAATGTAGTCTTGTATAACCTAAGAATTGTGATAGCAAAGTGTATCAGCACTCTTGATCCAAGCAAAGGATATTGTTGAGTATCTTTACTATCTGGTTTGGGGAACTGCCTTAGAAGACCTCCCAGACTGACTTTCAGAAAGTGCCTGGTATGCTCTGTAATTCACAAGACAGGACAGCGAATTGGTACAATCAGTGGTTGCTCCAGAAGGGGTATAAGAACCTGTTAGAAGTTAGCAAACCAACCGTCTATATTTTCAAGACATTTTCTCCACAGCCATGAGGGCTAGACATTTCTTCGAATGAAAGCTTAGGCTCTGGAGCATATACTTGTCATCAAAAATGTTAGTCACACCTCATGGTGGAGCAAGAAACAGCTTGAATGAGTATTATCAAATCAAAATAACTGACTAATAAATTTTAAAGCTAGCTTTAACCGTAGTCAGAGAGTTGTTGTTAACGGTTCTAAATCCTGCTGGAAAGGGATAACAAGTGGAGTTCCGCAAGGGTCTGTTTTGGGACCCGTACTGTTCAATATCTTCATCAATGATGTAGATATTGGGATAGAGAGTACGCTTATTAAGTTTGCGGATGATACCAAACTGGGTGGGGTTGCGACTTCTTTGGAGGATAGGGACATAATTCAAAATGACCTTAGCAAGTTAGAGAAATGGTCAGAGGTAAACAGGATGAGGTTTAATAAAGAGAAATGCAAAGTGCTCCACTTAGGAAGGAACAATCAGTTCCATACATACAAGATGGGAAGCGACTGTCTAGGAAGGAGCATGGCAGAAAGGGATCTAGGGGTCATAGTGGACCACAAGTTGAATGAGTCAACAGTGTGATGCTGTTGCCAAAAAAGCAAATATGATTCTAGGTTGTATCAACAGGTGTGTTGTAAGCAAAACTCGTGAAGTCATTCTGCCGCTCTACTCTGCACTAGTTAGGCCTCAGCTGGAGTACTGTGTCCAGTTCTGGGCGCCACATTTCAAGAAAGATGTGGAGAAATTGGAAAGGGTACAGAGAAGAGCGACAAGAATGATTAAAGGTCTAGAGAACATGACCTATGAAGCCAGGCTTCATGAACTGGGCTTGTTTAGTTTGGAAAAAAGAAGATTAAGGGGGGACATGATAGCGGTTTTCAAATATCTAAAAGGGTGTCACAAGGAGGAAGGAGAAAATTTGTTCCTCTTGGTTTCTGAGGACAGGACAAGGAGTAATGGGCTTAAAGTGCAGCAAGGGAGGTTTAGATTGGACATTAGGAAAAAATTCCTAACTGTCAGGGTGGTCAAATATTGGAATAAATTGCCAAGGGAGGTGGTGGAATCTCCCTCTCTGGAGATATTTAAGAACAGGTTAGATAGACATCTGTCAGGGATGGTGTAGGTGGAGCTTGGTCCTGCCTTGAGGGCGGGGGGCTGGACTCGATGACCTCTTGAGGTCCCTTCCAGTCCTATTATTCTATGATTCTATGATTTCCTTTGAGGTACTAACATCCATGAGAGAGTCCTCTTGTAATTTCAAATGAGTAATATTACTTAAAGGGACTGTTTTTAACAAATCTTGATTAAATCTCTTGATCAGTTCAGTAACCGAAAATCCTCAATGTTGAGTCTTCTCTATCAGATTATATGCTGAGGACATAGGCAAGATCTGCTCCATTCCTTATGGAAACAATGGTGTTGTGCAGGATGTGGAAAAACTGAACCAAGCCTTAACTTTGGAGCTGCTGTTTGATGTCTCTCTAGTTCAGTATGTGGCATAAAGGAGGAATCCAACTTAGATATTGTATCTAGTTTGCAAATATCTCTGCAGATTTTTCCTTCTCTCTAGTACCGGTACTATGGGCCTTGTCTGTTTGGTTTTTTCATAACTCCCATAGTCAGCATGGTTTGTATTTCTTCCTGCAGAACTGCAGTCATCTCTTCAGAAATAGTGATGCCATTGCTGTGTCTGAGTGGAGTCCTTCAGTGGTGATATATTGTACCTATATTGTTCCCTGTGAGGTGTGACTCAAATATGATTCTTCCTGTTGTAACCCTAGCCTCTTCTCCTCTCTCCACCCTTTCCCCATTGTGCCACTCCCAGAGTATTAAGATATGTTCCCAGGGCCAGGTAGGCAGGCAGAGCTTCAGAGTCTCGATGCGTGGATGAGATGATGGTGTAGGGAAGAGGGGGTTAGATTGATAAGGAACTGGGGAAACTTTTGGGATTGGGGGAACCTATACAGGAATGATGGGCTCCACCTAAACCAAAGTGGATCCAGACTGCTGTACACATACAGATGTAGTCTCCTCATCTCAAAAAAGATACACTGAACATTAGAAAAGGTTCAGAGATGGGCAACTAAAATGATTAGGGTTTTGGAACAGGTTCCATATGAGAAGAGATTAAAAAGACTAGGATTTTTCAGCTTGGAAAAGAGGAGACTAAGGGTGTGTCTAGACTACATGCCTCCTTCGACGGAGGCATGTAAGGCAGGCAGAGCTTCAGAGTCTCAATGCGTGGATGAGATAATGGTGTAGAGAAGAGGGGTTTGGATTTATTAGGAACTGGGGACACTTTTGGGAGAGGGGGAGCCTATACAGGAAGGATGGGCTCCACCTAAACCAGGGTGGAACCAGACTGCTGGCACTAAACATTAAAAAGGCCGTAGAGAAGTTTTTAAACTAAGAGAAGCCAATTGGTGTGGAGATGCACATAAATCGGATGGAGACTTCTCTTAGAGGAGAATCCATTGATAGAGATTCTCTAAGCTGTAGTCAGAAAGAGAGGAGGGGAGAGGACAAACCATGGGCCAGAGCAGACAAACAACTGCATATAAAGGAATCCAATGCATCAGGGAAGGGCAGACAAACAGTGGCAAATTTTTAAAGTGCTTCTACACAAATGCTAGGAGTCTGACTAATAAGATGGGTGAACTATAGTACCTCTTTTTAAAGGAGGAGATTGACATAATAGGCATCACTGAAACCTGGTGGAACGAGGAAAATCTGTGGGACACAATCATACCAGGATATAAAATATATCATCGGAAGGATAGAGCAGGCCAGGCCATGTGGGTGGCGGAGTGGCAC